TAATAATAATAATAATAATAATAATAATAATAATAATAATAATAATAATAATAATAATAATAATAATAATAATAATAATAATAGTAAAATGATAGCAATAATAATAATAATAATAATAAAATACAAGTGTTTGCGATTGATTAAATAATTAAAATTTGATCATACAAAAATTATCCCATCGATTAATGTTCAAATAACAGAAGGGATAATCTTTCTCCGATAAGATTTATGACAGATCATTTAATGATATGCAAATGATATTCTCCTACCATTTTTGATTGACTTAATTAATGAATGAACCTGTCAATGCAGAATGCGGGGGAGTGGAATGAGATAGTATAAGAGACAATTGATTATTTACATAGCTCAATAAGGCACAAAACCACAATACATTCATGGATTTACGGCAGTTTGATCGTGAATTAATTTCATTTCATTTCATTCCAATCTATCCATCAAAAATAAAACTGTGCATGTGTATGTGCATGTGTGTGTGTGTGTGTGTGTGTGTGTGTGTATGTGTGTGTGTCCGTCTGCCTGTCTGTCTATCTATTGACAACGGTATGAATTAGCGTTGTAAATTTGACAGCTCTTCAATCACTAATTAATTAATGCCATCTCTTAAAGCAAACACAATCCTCCTATCCATTTCCCTTCAACTCGTTCCACCAAAATATGCAAATTAAAAAAGAAAATGGACTTGTAGTTGTTTTTTTTTCTTTCTTTCTCATTTCTTGTCACTTTCTTTTTTTCTTCTCTCTTTTTTGTGGTTTCATCAATTTTATTGAAGAGATGAAAACAATGTTATGAATGAAAAAGGAAGAAATTTATTTCGTAAATAAACAACAAAAATTATTTGAAATTTGCAGAAAAAAAATGCAATAAAAAAGTTTTACGAATTGTTTATTTAAAATATAAGGATGAATTTGAATTTGAATTTAAATTTTTTAATTTTAGAATTTGAATTCAAATTTTTTAATTGATAACCAAATAATGCAAAACTGTTATAACAACATTTTGAAGTCATTTAATCCAATCATTAAACAAAGCTAATTGGGAAAAAATGATTTCATAATGAGTTTTTTTTTTATCTTTCCTAATTAATTAATTGTGTATGAATGATGTTCAAAAAAAAAAAAGAAGAAAAAATAGAGATAGAAAAAAATAGAAAAAAGATAGAAAATTAGCATTCGATTAAAATCATTAAAATATCTTATTGGTGATTATTTACACTTTGACCTTTAACCCTCCTTTTCTTATCATTTTCTTAACTTATTGCATTTTATTCACTACATATTTCAAATATCCTCGATAATATCGTACTTAATAAATGAAATTATCATTATTATCACCATTTTTGCATCTTTGTTTTTCAGTTTTTTTCTTTTTCTAGTTTAGTTTTTTTGCAAAAAAAAAAAAAAGAAAGAAAAAAGAAAACATGGGAAAGAAAGGGAAAATTTGAAAGAAAGAGAAAAAGAAAGCAGACAAAAAAAGAAAAAGAAAAATAAGGAAAATTTGCATGAATCATTTAACCTCGACAAATGATGCCATTTAACTATTCATATATTTGAGCTTTATTTGATATGAAAGACAGGGTTTAAATTACATTTTAAGATTGAATTTGATGAGATAAGCCGTTCCATTCATTCCTTTCCTCTCTCTCTCTCTCTCTCTCTCTCTCTTTCTTCTCCTCTTCATGCTTCTAGTAACGTATAATACAAACAAGTATTATCATTATCACTATTATTATCACCGTTATTATCATCGTTTAATAGTATCATTTATTGGGGGAAGAAAAAAGTTAAATTCTTTACAAATTCAAAGTTATTTATGGGAGAAAAAAAAAGACTAGTTAAAGGAAAAGAAAAAAGTGATAAATTGATTATTAAGATTTATTAACCTTAAAGGTATCATCTTTATCAGGTTAAAGGTTATCAGTAAAATGGATAAGTGTTGTATCTAACATTTATCAATTTATATAATCAAAATATCATATTTGAGTGATTATCAGCAACACTAATGATCACTAATATTGATAAAACAGAGAATACATATGCTTTCATATATTTAGATTTCGTATATATGATGAAATGTCTGCTTTTTTTTGTTTGATCAATCGATTGATTGGAAATTTTTATAATTGATTAAAATATCGCCAATCAATCAATCCATATTTTATTCATTGAAGTATCTGAAAAACGGTAATACTTTTTTTTTAAAAAAAAAGCATTGAAATAAAGTTTGAAATTAAAATTAAAAAAAAATGAAATGAAATTTGAAATTAAAAAAAAAAGTAATTACATAAATTTATTTGAATATGTCAGAAAATAAGATATAATATAGAG